TATAACACCAGAGACTAGACAGGTTTACAAATCATAAAACAGTAAATAGCTTGGAGAAGCCACAACAACAAGGTTGGTAAGAATTGCATAACTTCAAGCAAGACCCATGTTATTCTTTTGTTGTGTCCATTCTAGGATCAAAGAAACAAGAAGGCCACGCTAATATTATTATCACCTTCAAGTAGTCAGTGTGGTAAATGTAATAAAAATGTTAAATTACACGGGGGAGTTCTAGTAATATTACTTATACTGGAAAAGTAGGCTAGATTATACATCCTGCCTCCATAAAGGGATCGTGGTTTGTTAGCTTTCTTGTATGATACTGTGTAATGTGTGAAGTTGTTGTCGCTGAAGTTTGAAAAATAGCCTTTTTTAAATGAATTAAACAATTCTGTTGGATACAGCCAATGTTTTATTAGCTTGTAATCAACTTCCAGATATAAAAATAACTTTTAACTAACACGAACTAGCGTTCAAATTCTAAACTAATTAAACTTAATATGCCTTGGACATGTTCGAGCACACAATTTCAACATATTGAGCAGTCTGTAATTCTAATAAGACGTTTGAGTTGTTGACCAAATTATATAGTCACATCACGGTATAAAACATGAGGGAATCCTCAATAGCCGCACCACTTGAAATTCTTTTAGGCATGATTGGAGTAATTTAATCTATGAGACTTTTTTTTCATTTTTATTAGCTATATTTTTGTGCGCCAGCAATACCAAGCGTGGGTCGTGCTTATACTTAATTCCAATTTATTGCTCATCAGGTTATGTACCAGCCTACCCTCAAATTGAAATGCTTTTAGACAGGGTCCTCTCACCACCCCCATTGGCACTGCGGTATGTCTGCGGACTTATATCACTAGAAATCGGGTTTCTATACCTGTGGTTGGCAGAGCACAGATAGTCCTTTGTTTAGCTTTGTACTTAACCACAAAACAAATAGAACTTTTAATCAGGATTACAGTAAATTAATCTATGAGACCTTGGGCGTGGTCAAATACATCAATCGAAAGGATTTGACCTCCTGAGTACACAACTATAATTAGATCTCAAATCGGTCAAGAGATGACGGGGCTGTGAGCTAAAAATTTCTACATGAAAAAAAAAAACAACCCGGAGCCATTCTATGAGCCGTTATGCCGCGGCTAACAATTTTATCTTTGTTGGTGATGGAAACAGACAACTAAGGTAATATTGTGCACTGCTACGGCGTACAGAGGTACATTACATAGTAAGGCCCACTTGAAACTTCTTGATCAAGAATCTGTGTGTATACTACGTTACAATTTAATGCCAAATGTTATTAAATATTGACAAATCCACATTGTTGATAGCGGATTCAAGGAAAGTTTCGTAACCAATAATGTTACAAAAAAACTCAATTTTTTTTATCGGTTGTGACACCTTGGCGTGCTGTGTTAACCATAGTTGCTGGGAATTTAATCAACACAGAGATTTATCAACTATTTAATCAAGATGTTTATTTATCAAACTTGACAGGGAAAGATTTATGATACTTTGATTATTGAGTTGTTGTTTTTTTTTACCATATATTTTATAGAGTGTCTCTATTATTGAAAGTTCATTTACTTTCAACACGTTTTTTTTCTCAAGTAGAACAAACTGGCTCAGTTTAAAATGAGGACTTTTCCAATAAAACACGCTCAGATATTTTCAATTTTAGCCAGAATTATCACAATGTTTACTTCGACAGTAGCTTCAGCTATCGGTAAGATGTTTAACGTAGAGTAAATTTGTTTATGTTATTGTAAGAAAAAATACCATTCAGAGCTTACTGGGGATCTTAGATTTAGCTTTACGTGAACGTTGAATTTAAATGTCGTTTACCACTAAT